AAACCTTTGTATTCCCAATCGCTTTCCGACGGCGTTTCCCAGCTGTTTGAAAATACAGCTCACATTGCCCTTCCGCACCCTATCGCAATAAATTTAGTAGTTATGAATATACTACTCTTAAGTGATATAACAAATCACAAATTTGAAACCCAGTACAAAAGCGCTAAAATTGGTTTCAGTTTGGACAACCGCTAACCATGCACCTTCGTGCGGCAGTTTTTGTTGCTGTCTTTTGGCTGACCATTTGGATGAATACAAGGAGCACAGGAACGCTAACAGTTCTTGGGTCTAAGTCGTCTGCTGTCATCCTCTTGTATTCTTCTTCAGTAATCTGTTGCTGCTGTTCTAGTCATCTTGGTATTGCGTTGAATTTCCTGATGAGTTTTGTCGACATTTGTCTCAATTTTACGATGGGGACTTGTTATCTGGGGTACTTCTTTTGTCTATCTGATGTGGTCTGCTCTGTCTATTACCACGGTCACTCATCAATCGTCCACCGGGATGAGGATATCCTTAAGGTTCTCGGTGTCTTCACTGATTTTTGTCTGTTTGGAAAATTACACGGAACAGTTTCTCTCGTTTCGGAATGAAAACAAGGGGTTGTGGTTGTCGGATAACCTGGTGATCCTTGGGGTATGTTTTATTACGGTTATATACTCTTTCTTGGTTTTTTTGTTCGAATTTGACCGAAATCCGAGTTTCATTGATTTTATTTTGCATCGCTGAACGTGGGAAAGTTACAATTGGTTTCTCTCGCTATTTCTAAGTTGATATACCGAATTTGGCGTAACGAAATCCTGGCAAAGCCTCACAACTTAACCTTTTTCTCTCGCTTCAACCCTTGGATGAGATGCATCTCCCAATCGTTCCTTGTTGACACGACTAGTTCAAGGGTAATTCCACTAAACTTTTGCACCGTAATCGGCAGTGTCCGCGACATTTTTGTTAGAAACAATTTCCTAATAGATGTAGTACATGCTTCATTGATCTTCGGAAGTTGGACATTGAAGTAACTACCGTTGTGCCCCAATATCTACACTCTCGCGTGCTGAACAGTGCGAATTGAGAAAGATCTGTTCCTTTTGATTGGTCGATGATACGATCGTTTACAGAGAATCGATGACTTGTTCAACGCATTTGATTATTGAACACTGTAAATCGATTTTTGGGTTATCCATTTGGATTATTTCACAATATCAAAAGATCGGTCTTGTAGTTCGCTCAAAAAATGTCATTAAAACTTGATTGTTTATTTTCTGTAAACGGTAAAGTCCATCGGCTGTTTGATAACAAATTCCGTTGAGCGAAACTGTTGCTTTGTCTCGACAAACAGCAGCACAAATATCTGTGTGATTTGTATCGATTGATCTAGATTTGGTTCACTTGATATAGCTCAGCTCTTCGCAAACCAATCATTCCCTCCTCTCATATTGGCACCTGCTTTCGCCGATGGTGAACCGTCCTAATCATCGCGAAAGCTGTCGTGACCGGGAATTGATCCCTAAATATGCTTCTCATAGCTGTCCTATACTTCCAANGTTCTTTCACTAAAAAAACAAGTGTTTTGTAATATCTACAATAATACCCTTTCTACTCACTCTTACTTGAGCCTAAATCAAGACAGCTTTTTTATTACACTATGCTTTTAGCATATTATGTAAATAAATAATGAATGAAGTTCATAACTCTGAGAGTAGTACTAAAATAAGCTAAGTGAGATACCCGCGGCAGGTCGCAAAGATGGGTTGTGCTAAGGGCAAAATCAAAAACTGTCTGGTCAGCTGCCCGACGGCCAAGCGGATAATATGCTTGTGTTCTACTTGTGAGGTTCCCGGTTCGAGCCCTGGTACGATTGATGGATTTGCACTGCTGGTGAGACCTGATAAGATCGAAAGAGCTGTCTGTTGCTCCCCAGTTCAGGCTCCATTCGCTCTATATGCGATGGTATTAATCATTTTGTTAATTATAAATATGTATCAGCTCACGTTTTCCGTCTCTCAGCCACCAAAACCTTGTTCATCACATTGACACCCTCACTGATCTGTTTCGGTCCATTCAGTCTGTCATAAACGAACAAATGGCTCTGGGTCGGGTCGCCAATTGTGCAACGGACCTGTTGCTAAGTGCAATATGCCTGGGAAGAGCATCGCGGGCGATCAGCATTGGATTACTACTTCACGATTACGAGGTATGGGGCTTTCATTCGTACGCCGACTTTGGACATGCTTATTTATGTTGATATTTCCTACGATTTTGTCCGGTTCACCTCACCAATTTTTTTCAGTTCGAAAGGAATGCAAAAGATTGTTACGCGCGACACGTTGAGTACCCATCCAGCCAGACATTGCATCGCTCGTTTGAATCCCCGTAGATCGTCGTTTTCAACCGGAGAGTAGATGTTTGACGAGTTTCCGTAATGCCCAGTTGCACTACAGTTAACCTGTTTCTCCGTTAGGTTTTGGCTGCTTTTGGATTGCGGAGTGACTGCTCGTCTTCGTGACGACTTTCTTCAACTCCAGCTAAAAAGCCTCTCTTACCATTTCTGTAAAAATGCATTCTTCTCACACAGCGCTATTTAATGGTGAAGCCACGTATATTAGTTATGCTTCTCACGCATGACTTTCTTTATTCCCAGGTGAGACTTGCTGCCACATTTGTGAAACTGGCCTGCAAACGAGTGGAAGCCAACATGGTCGCGCTGGACGTGTTGGACAGTGAACGCCACCGGATAGCCAGCGAGATGCTGTCCCATCGGAGATATCCTGTAGTTCATCCTATAACGCGTGTCTGGTAGACTTAGCTCACTACTCCGCCTCGTTACCACTGTATCCCTTGTAATTATAATTTACCGTTTGAAGTCATGAGATTGCCTTTTTGTTTTCAAATCAGAGATAGGCTAGATTCTCGAACGAATTCGTCTACCCTGCAATACAGCATATAGCCTTTTTGAATGTGTATGTAACGAACGGTAATAATTGTATTGTATTGTGTATAACTTTTGCAAACACTCATATTCCAGTTTTAAAAAAATCATACACCCTAACCGTCACAATATACATAATCAACGGGGAGAAAAGTTTTTACAGGCATGGGGACATTTCATAATCCAAGGTTAAGACAGAGTTCACTCATTGTCCGCTCTTTGTTTACGAGTAGATGAGCAATAGACGGTATAGTTGAATTGCGGTAAGCGTTAATTCGAGATGAAATTTGATGGAATTGGGAGCGTGTTGAATGATGAGAACGTGTCAGTTCTGCGCGCAATGGGTGGTCAGGATCTGTGAGAAACCTCTCAGTCAGTTTCACACATAAGTTACGTGATACTCTGAAAGCTTTATAGCTAACTCATTCACAGGAATAGAAGAGACACGACTAATAATGGTTAAACCGCGGCGTAAGACTTTAAAATCTTGTTAGAGTAAGCCAGGAAAATGACTGGGGAACATTAGAGTAAGATGGGGAAAACACATTGATAAACAAAGGTAGAAATAAGTGATTAGAATGCGCGGAACTGCATGAGCTTTCGTATTTGAAATGAAAGGCGCCGCAGTTTACCAATGCAGTTGTGGATGTGGGTTGACCAAAGAAGATTGCCATCTATGGTTACACCAAGACAGAGTTTACCCTGGATAAAGGATTATTATTAATCACTGTGGGTCTGTCGGATATGGGGAACGAGCAAAATTGTATAAACACTCAACACATTTACTGGGGTTCAGGGTTAGTCCCGATGAGGAGGAGAATGATTGAATTTGATCACGATTGTCGGTGAAAGAACTTAGATCAGAGTAAGAAGAAATGGGTTGGCACAACACGACATCATCTAGATTATCGGTAAAAGAGCTTAGATCAGAGTAAGAAGAAATGGGTTGGCACAACACGACATCATCTGCATATTTTCAAAATTCGTGCTGGAGGAACACGGAATATCACAAACATAAGTGGAAAATAAGTATGAGGATAGCACAGCTCCTTGAAGAACCCCGGAGTTGTTGACTAAGGGTTTCGACATGGCCTTCCCCAATCTACTGAGTTAGACTCATTCAGTAAATTAGTTGGATAGCCGAGCAAACTGCTTGGGGCATTCAAACGATTCTAATTTTTGTAACAACTTAGATCTAGGAATGGAATCAAATGCAGAACAGTAGTCCAGAAAAACACACCGAACAGACTTAACAGAACTGTTCTAAGACTTGGTGAAAAAATAAATGGGGGTGGAGACTGCGTCCAAGGTGGATCTATTAGGCTTGCAAGCAAGCTGTAAGGATCACTGGGGATGTTTATAGACTGCTGAAGGCGTTTGAGGACGGCCCTTAAAGTCAATTTAAAAGCTGAATATGTTAACGCTATGGGGCGAAAACGTTTGGAAAGGATAGAAGATCTGGATGCTTTAGGGATTGGTACGATTGTGACCCGACTCCAACAGTCGGGGATAGTAGAAATGTTAACAGATTCATTGACAATGAAGGTAATTGCCCCAGCTAGGGAACGAGCATATAATTTGAAGAGGGCTGGATGTAAGTCATTCGGGCCTGCAGCAGAAGACAAATTGCAATTTTTTAAAAGATTTAACACATCACAATATGCGAATGGTTCCACTTTACAAACATTTTCTGACGAGTAGACAGGAAGAATGTCCGACGACTGGCGCAAGAATGCGGTATTGAGATCATCAGCATCCACATCCAGCGTCGACCATACTTTCTTCCACAGAGAAGTCTTATACCTTGCCACAGGTGTTTGCTGTTTCCAGTCCTCAGAATTCGATCGGAGAATAATGCGTTCAATTTATTTACTTCAGCTTTGATGAGCCTGGACAAATACCTGACAGCTGAATCATTGAGACTTGTATGTACATTCCTTTTGTCGTCGCAGCGACGTTAGTAGGGGAGAGTCTATCCTTCCGTTGGACACAGGTTTTGAACAGGACAGCAGTGATTATAAATGGCATTCATTGTTTGGGTGAATATTGGAACACATGTGAACAGAGATGATGAAAACCGTAAAGAGGCCTGTCTGAGAGATTCATTCAGGAGAGGAACACTTGTAGGCGAGAAGTTACGAAAAAGAAATCTGATATGCTCGGATCGGGAGAAAGATCTGTATACAATGTGTGAATAAACTTTAGGTCGAACTAAGAGTAAGCAACGGTCACTGGAGGAAATAGGTGCTTTTAGTGATAAAGAAAAAAGGGTTGGGTGGTTGGTAATTACTCTGTCCAGTATAGAGTTACCTCTTGTGGGAGTACTGACAGAGATCTGTCATACCCAATGATAAAAGTGGATACGTGCTAGTATGGTTGAAGTCAGTAACAAAGATCTGTCATACCCAATGATAAAAGTGGATAAGTACTAATATGGTTAATTTCGTCACCCTCAAAACGTTAACCTGACGTGATCCTAAAAATGTGATTCGCAATCCGCTTGCGCAGAACACGTTGCACATACCGCTATTTGCGCCTTGAATAGGCCCATAATTATTTACTGGCTAACGGCTATATCAACCTTGTATCGTAGCTAATGCATTCGATTTTGACAAGGCTCTAACATGTATTTACTTGTATGTCTGTTCCGCGGACTTAATCCAAAGGTTTTCGTCAACATCGGACTCCTCTTTTGATAGTGGATAACGGTAGTGTAACCTGTGGTATGTAGTTTATTTATATTAGGCAAAGCACTAGGGTGTTCTCAAACCGGCCGTCCAGCTAAGTGCACATACGAAAATGAATCCTCTCCTTAAGATGATACATTTGATATGCTACTTAATAAATCGGCCAACGGGCATTCTAGCCACCCTCCTCGTTGCATACGATCAGTGTCTGGCAAAAGACAGTCCATACAACTCGTATATGATATTCTTCCAATGGACTTATGGATATCCCAAACGTCTGAGCCCAGAGAGGAAAAGATGGTTAATCGACCAAATGGATAGTCATCCGATCCCGTTGCCCTCAACGATGACGATTGTGATCCTCAAGGCTGGCAGGAGCCTGTGCCTGGTGATCAGCTAGAAGTAGCTGAGAGCTTTAAGTACCTCGGGAGCTTGATCGCAGCTGGTGAGGGTGTTGGGGAGATCACATCACGAATAACGAAAGCTAGAGCAGCTTTCGCCAACCTGC